CTTTTGAAAATAAAAAAGATGCAACTGCCTAAAAACTGGATGTTCCCAATATGCTTTAGTTATGGAAGATTTGAAAACAAATTTTTCGTTTTTCGATCACAGCATTGGATATCATAATCATAATATAATCGTAAATTATTTTAATTACACTTTTTGTTTAGAAAATCATAAAAATTCATTTTAGGTCAAAAATTTGTTTAACGCTGGACTATGAATTAAATTGTTTACAGTATTGCTATATATATAGATTTCAAGTCGGCTAAAAAGGCGAGAACGCGCTGTTGTTAGTTTTGGAAAGCCTACCAAGAACTAAACAAATAAATTTCAAACACAAAATGCACATGGAACTGCCTTATTTCTTTAAGTGTACTGCATCTATTCGACATTACTTTGATCAATGCTGGGCCGATCGGCGCAGACAAACTGTCTCGTTGTGTATCTGTGTGTGTGTGCGTGGGCATGGTCTCAATGCTGCCGGAGAAAGAGAAGGAATGTGTCTGAGAAAAAGTGTGGGAAATGCGTTTGAGGCAAAGTCCGGAAAAGAGGCACAGACAAAGCCACATTGTCTAAAGGACGTTGGCGTTGGCTTTCGAAAACGATGGCAAGTGTGTCAACATTATGCATGTGTTTGTGTGTCTATATGTGTGTGTGTGTTGTACCTGCCGGCAACCACTTCCCTTTCCTCAACGCTGTTACAATTTTAATGCGTGTCCGTCTGTGCGCCTGTCAAAGGGCATAATAAAACAGCCGCCGGCCAAAAGAATGAACACTCTCTCTGCGTCTAGTTGTATGTCTATGTCTATGCGTATATCTCTTCCTATTTATCCAAACAAATGCACATATGCATGCATGCGTGCGTCTTTATAGAAATAGAATAGCATAAAAATGGGCAACTAATGAATTTTCACGTTGCTCTTGCGGCCGATTCCTTCGGGAATGCCTTTCAACTTTCAACACAGGACGAGGCCAGACAACAGAGTAGGCCTCATGCACAGTGGCCTGATTTTTCTTTGTCAGCTGTGTTGCAAATGTACATATCTTTCCGCTTCTCCTATTTTAAGCTTGTTTTCTTGTTAAACATTAAATGTGTCTGTGCTGACTAATAAGCTCTTGTTTGATGACAAAATGGGGAAATGCAAAATATACTATTACCCTCAGTGCATTTCGACTTCAAAACAGCAAACAACCATGGCGATTTCAGATATTTTTAAAAATTCTAAACAGTTAATATTCCATGTTTAAATGCACGCCATTTAATAAGAAGGACATGAACGCAAAGTTTTTTCAATCGCCAATATCACAGAAATAAATTATTGTACATACATGTAGTCGGCAAACCCTTTTAGAGAAGTGGGATTGGAAATTGATCCCTGAAATTAATATCGTACATAAGCTACCTCCCGATATTTATTAATCATTTTAATCATGTAGGTTAAGCCAATCGTGTTTATAAATATAATTTATTTATTATCTATTACAGGATTAACAAACTATGTACCTTACTTCTGCGATATTTCGGAGAGAATTCCGAGAAAATCGAAAAGTTTTAAGTCTTGATTAAAAATTTTCCCTCATTTCGCACAATCTATCACAGTTTCCAATTTCTTTTTAGTGTATTGTTTGGTTTTGGTTTACTCAACATTTAAAAGCCTTGTGTATTTTAATTGAACAGCTCTTGTATTTAAAAAGACGAATAAAGAAGTACTGATCAGCAAAAAGGAAATTCGGCTGCAATGGAAAGTCTCACACGTGTGAAAATTTGTTTGGAAATATTGTTTTTCAGTTGAATTTTTAATAAAATTAAGATTTGTCCTAAATCCTAAATAAAGCAACAATTAAAACAAAATAAAATTAATACTCTACTGCGAAAAACTGAATTTGATTAATAAATGAACTTTCGTTATGCTTTCTTCTCAAAACTCATTTGAACACGTATCGATTTTCAATATTGAAACAAATAAGCTTGAACCACTGTGTGTCGTTCCTATGCCGTAGAGAGCGGATGATGGACAAACGAACCGTGCAAAAGCGCGCTAGACAACGTGAAGCCACAAATATACACTCAATGTTTGAGAGACATTGGCGTAATCGGCCCATCCGCACCCAAAACGCACACTCCCCCCCCTCCCTCCCCATCACCAACAATTTACTTCGCACACCCACCACTCCACCCGCACCCCGCATACTACACACCGCGCTGGGCAAACCACCCACAGTGCGCGCAACAAAAGGAAACTCAAACCGCAGAGCGACTTGTCCTCGACTCGCAGTGATGAGGAGGGGGGCGGGGGTAGGCAGCACTGAGCGTAAAAGCTATTCAACCAAATGTTGTATAAATGTAATTCAATACTTTTTTCAATCTTCGCCACTGTGTTGTAGCTGGTCTTGTTCTTATTGCTATTACTATTGTTGTTGTTGCAGCGGTAAGTCCGCAGAGCAGCAACAACAAGCACAAAAAAATGTAGATACATGTATACATGCATACATACATACATACATACTTACATACATAGGTAGAACAAATTGGAAACACATTTTACCCTCCAATTACTTAAACACAATACACATTGCGATTGCAGTCGATGGGTGTGGGTGTAGAGCACGGGGTAGGGGGGTGTATGGGTGGCGCACACTGAAAAACAACACTATTAAAGACACTATTTTTGCGCAATCAGAAGTTTGTATGTAATTCTAAATAGTCGCGTCACTGCTCGATTGATTACTTATGAGTTATCGATAATTGCAATTAAGATCAAGACAAGCCATTCACAATTGACAAGCCGCCCAAAGGGTGTGCGTATGCATATGTGGGTGTATGTGTGTATGCATGTGTGTGGACTGTTCATGCCAACAGGTTTAGAATTTCGGCCGCTGTCTCTTGCGCTCTGCTTATGACTCTGCTTCTTCCTGCTGCGTGTCATCAAAAGGATGTGTGCCACCACTCCCTCTCCTCCCTCCGCCCACAACTGTTCTGTTTTGTGCTCGCTAATAGATTTTCTATTACCTTACGCAGCCGCAGCCCGCAACAGCAGATGAAGAGGAAGAACAAGAGATAGCTGTAGCAGCAGCAGCAAAAGCAACAACAACAACCGCCTCATTTCAGCATTCACATGCATGACCGAATTTTCATTTTACGCTCGCCCTGGCCCCCTCCTGACTAATGCGCCCTCTTTGGGTTGAGTTGCTTTCGCCGTTGCCGTTGCCCTGCTGTTTGCAATTGTAGTTTTCTGTTGTTGCTGTTGTTGTAGTGTTGAAATCAAATCCCAGCGGAATATCAACGCAAAATTATTATTATCATTATTAAAGGAGTCGATGTTCGTGGGTCTTTAGGATTTATCATCATAAATGTGTATAATATGGCACATGCCACACAAGTCCGCCCACCCTCCTTCTGCCGCACTCCCTATAGACCACACGAATGCACAACAGAAAACCACAATCGCTGTTGTTGTTGTTGCAACAGCCAGAGAAGAGGAAACCGCACTTCTGTCTGCGTATTGCACATGTCAATATTAGATTTAAGATTTGAGCGAAAGTTAAATGGGTTACAAGGAGCAATAACTGTACAAGTTTAACACAATTAATATGTTGTTGTTGGGGGGAACGGAGAAGCATGCGGGCAGGGCAATTAGAGATGGGCTCAGGCCGTGAGTGAAAAAATATTGGATTAGAATTATTATTTGAAACTTTTCTGCTGCAATTACATTTTTGCAGAGGTAGCGTAAGACATTTTTAATTCTTTGCTATATTAACTTTACTTTTATTATTACAATAAATTGCACTAATTACAATTAAAGTTTTGTAAACTTAAAATAAATAAATAAGAAACAGTACAATCTTTATGTTAAAGTTAATATATATTTTGAAATTCAATTCAATATAAAAACGTGCATAATTAATAAATCAACTTAATATTTTAATAATTCATTAATGATGTGGAAATAATTGAATTTGTAAAATGCGGTAATTATAAAAATATAAATAAACAATTGCTCGATGTTTACGTATATGCAATTAAAAGAATTAAGGGTCGATTGCCTTAATGGAGAAAGTAATTCTTTTCATTGCAAAATGAACGAGAAATTGCTATTATAATGTTCCAAGAACTTGGCCTTGAGGAACTCCTGTTGCGACCATCGACCTCAGCCATCTCTAAGCCGAGCCCCACCCCACTACCACCAACACTTGTGCAGCCGTTGCAATTTTGTCTGTGTGTGTGTGTGGCCAGCCGCATAACTATTTGGAAAACCCTTTGCGAACGAAATGAATGTGGTGGGCGTGTGGTTTGTAGGACGGTATAACGGTGGATCCGTGGGGTGCTTGTTTGCTTATTGAAACAAATTGTAATTAAATGAATGTATCAGAAGCAAAAGCAGCAGCAACAGCAGCATCAACAACAACAACAACAAACACAGTGGGTAGCATCATCATCGCAGGCGTCACCATGTCAACCAGTCGTGGTCGTCAGCGTCGTCAACGTCGTCGGATGGCAAAGGGTGCGGTTTGGATGGGATTGTGGCAGCAAGCGATTTGCACTTATCCAGGATTAGTAAAAATGCCACATTAAACTGAGTAAACAATGTAAAAGTTGATATTTGTAAGGCCTACCAAACACCGGTGCACTCACAAAAGTCGCAAAAACCTTATTCTTATACACATAGTGACAAGTTTGGCAGATGTGCAAATTTCAATGCTTTCATGTTTTTCAGTTTTTCATAGCGGCACGTTATAGTTAGCTTACAACGATATTGATCATAGCGCCATCTATTCAAACACATTAATGATGTACACTGCCACCTACCGGTGTAGGTAGTGGCTGGCAGCACTGCACCGATTCTAAATAAAGAATGGTCATTTGTTATCGATAAGCTCAGTTACGATTGTTGGTGTAAACATCTGTGCCGCCTTTTCGTGCGTATGTTTTGTTTTTTTCGCGCGCTTTTCCTACCAATTTTTTTCGCTGCTATTCTGTATTGTGGGTGTATGTGTGTGCGCGTACAATTCAAGGCACAAAAGAAAATTGCAACGCGAATAAAAATTAACGTTAGCAAAGATAATTAACTTGCATAGTTATGTCCGCTGGCCTTGTAAAGACGCCAACTGTTGGACGTGGAAAAGATGTGAATAGCCCCAATGGCAGCAGCAGCAAAAAATTAGTACAGACGCGCTTGCCCTTTAAGCTAATAACGCCCGCGGCGCCCCTAACGCCATCGACAGCAAGTGCATCGACAGCGGCAGCCGAGACAACGTCAGCGGCCGCATCGGAGCCCGTTGTGATTGTTTTGGATGACGATGAAGCTCTCGTGAAGGAGCCGCGCAAGCGCAAGTTATCCTATGGCTCCGACAAGGAGCGATCAACAATACCCGCAGCCGAATCTGCCAATGATCAACAGCTGCGCAGGTCGAACAGCAAGGAGAATTTGATCGAGGGGGTGATGGTGGTGGCAAAGACGGTCAGCAAGAAGCCAAAGGCAAGTGAAGCCGGGGATGATGGTGTTATTGAACTGACCGAGGAGGGTGATGATAACAATGATGAGGCGGAAGCAGTCAATGGGAACAAGAGCAAGTGTGTGGCTGGCCACTCCCCGCTTATACAAATTAAGCTGCCGCTGAAAAAGAAGCGCACCAAGCGCACAAAATCCTCGAGAAAAACGGATGAGACGCCAGACCTGCAGGCGGTCAAGGCGGCAGAACAGAGCTACTCCAGCGATGACATTGAAGCCACTGCCGTGGAACTGAATCCGCGGAAACGCGCAAAAGTGGTTCAGGTGGAGAGCGTGCCGGCGAAGCCGGAGGCAATGGAAATTGATGAGCCGGTGATGGACAACGAAAATGGTAATCCAGCTCCTAAAGACCTTGAAAAGGAGACAAATGATCAGGCCAAGTCCGTTTCTCAGCCGGAATCCCAAATCATTACGGAATCAGAGTCAAAAAGCAAAACAGATGGGGAAAATTTCTACAGCAGCGATGAAAAATCCACTTCCGAGGCAAAGACTGATGGCCAAGTGCAGTCAGATGCTGAAGTCGTGCATCTAGACAGCAACGACGAGGAAAAGACCAGCGATAGCGATAGTAAATCCAATGGCGAACAGTCCAGCACGGACATGGAGGTCGAAACGGACACTCTAAACAAAACCGCTTCAGATATTCAGGAGGTGTCTGGCATAAAATCTAAACTAACCACAGAAGGTACCGACGCCCCATCCTCTAAGAACCTTACGCCCAAACAGCAGAAATTACTTGAGCAACGTAAGAAAGCACGCGAGGAAAAGGAACGCAAGCTGCAGGAAGAAAGAATGCAGAAGCAACAGGAGAGAGAAGAGCGGGAGCAGGCCAAGAAACGGGAGCGTGAACAGAAAGAGGAGCAGCGACGCAAAGAGCGCGAGGAAAAGGAGGAGCAGAAACGCAAGGAGCGTGAAGAGCGCGAACGAAAGCGTCAAGCCGAAGTTGATTCCAAAATGGAAGAGAAGCGCAAACGCAACGAGGCCAAAGAGGAAGTGCAACGGAAAAAGGACGAGGAACGTCGCCGCAAAGAGCAAGAGAAGGAGGAGGCCCGAGAAAAGGAAGAGCTCAAAAAGAAGCGCGCCGCCGAATCCTTTTCCAAATTCTTCGTGCAAAAGCAACCAAAGCCCAGCCAAGACAATATCTGCGACCATGAGCAGAGCAGTTGCGACAGCGGGAACAGCCAGCTTGAACGCAAGTTGACCTTCCGTCTCGCTTTCCGTCCATTCCAAGTTAAGGGCGACATGCTGTTGGCGCCTGTCCTCCGCAGCACATTAGATGAGGAACAGCGCAAGCAGCTGGACACGTTGGTGCATCACAGACCGCAAAAACTTGAAGGGGCTGGCGATGGTGACCACGATGATGACGAGGAGGAGGACATTGTGCGACGCAAGCCGCCAACACGGGCTCAACTTTATCTGAGCGAACTGCGTCTTGGTCGCCACAAACCAAAGCACACACAACGTGATGCCGCCTTAATTAGTCGCCCTAAGGACGATGACGATGAAGAGGATGTCCAGATTGTTGGTGAGTCTCTGAAGAGGCTTCTACCGACTCAGTCATTTCTAACGCCTTTCCTTTTAGGTGATTTGTCCACGCCAGGCATGCCCATTCTAGAAGAGAAACCCAAACAATTGCCGCCTATGCGCGCCAAATATTTGCACTTCTCGGACAATCGAAGACCGCCCTATTATGGCACTTGGCGCAAGCGCAGCAATCTCATCAAGGCTCGGCGTCCCTTTGGGCAAGATAAGGTAAGTGCGAAGATAATTCAAACGTTTCATCTCCTCTCGAGAGGCTATTCATTGGCTGCACATATTTCCATACATAACATATTCCCATATACAACATATATGACTTCCTTATTGTTATCCTTTTATATAGCTGCCGAAGTATCAATCGGTAAAAAAAAGTCACTTTTCATTCCAATTTTGTGCATGATTTGTGTTTCTTATTATTATTCTTATTCCACCATAATCGGAATTTGTGTAAATATACGTATCACAAGAACCGCCAGTGTAATAATTACTGTTATTGAAAAAACTGAAATGCTTTTTAATAATACCTCGCCAAGTTTGGAAAGTTCGGCATATTTAAGTGCTAGTTTTTATAAAATGCTTATTAGCCTTAATATTTCTGATCTTGCTTGGAGAATATTGATCTTCTTTCCGGATCTGCGTCATTGAACACACCGAACAGATGTTTTCTAGGATAGCCCTCACTAGAACCAAATTTTGTTGCTCGATTGCAAAGGTTTGATCAAAATTTTGAGACTTGTTCTCTCCACAAAAAAAAGGACCCCTATCTGATATTTTTGAAATCACTTGGAAACACTATGTAATGATGTGAATTAAAATGCATTTCGTACGTCTTCATTCCCATTGAACTTTCTGCAATTGATCACCGTCTTTGGATTTATCAGAAACCATTGAAATACCAGAATTTTTAAAGGTCATCTATTTCATAAAATAAACGCTTCTGAGTTGGATACGTAATACGAAAAAATCAAATGCTTAAATCCACATCTGTTATGTTTCCATTCCATATTGAACTTTCTGCAATTGATCACCGTCTTTGGATTTATCAGAAACCATTGAAATACCAAATTTTTTGAAGGTCATCTATTTCATAAAATAAATACTCCTGAGTCGGACACGTAATACGAAAACAACAAATGCTTAAATCCACATCTGTTACGCTTCTATTCCCATTGAACTTTCACCATCTTTGGATTTATCAGAAACCATTGAAATATCACAATTTTTAAAGGTCATCTCTTTCATAAAATAAACGCTCGAGAGTCGGACACGTAATATGAAAACATCAAATGCTTAAATCCACAATCCTGTTATGCTTCACAGAGTCATTTTGACTACGAAATCGATTCGGACTGCGAGTGGGAGGAGGAGGAACCGGGCGAGTCGCTGAGCGCTAGTGAGGACGAGAAGGAGCGCGAGTCCGAGGAGGAGGACTACGAGGTGGATAATGAGTGGTTTGTGCCACACGGTCATCTCAGTGACGAGGAGATGCAAAACGATGGCGAAATGGAGGATGGCAATACGCGTGAGGCCCAAAAGGCTAAACTGCAAGTTATGCAACAAGAGTTTGCACAGGAAATGAAGAAGCAGACGAAGAAGATCAAACCACGTCTTTGGGGTCCCGTTTGGCTGGACGAGAATGGTGAATCGCTGCTCCTGCGTGAGGTCTTCACTCAAACCATTGACATGTACGGAAGCTGGCAGCTAGAGCCCTTGTCGCTGGAACCGCCACCCGAATTGGCGATTGAGGAGGAGCCGATGGAGGAGAAGGCCAGTCCATTGGTGTTAGATGGAGTGCTGCTCCAACAATTGGTGCGTCTAATACATGGCAATAGCAATTCTAAGATCTTTCTCATATCCGAATATCTGGAGTATCTGAAGACGCAAACTGATTTGACGCTACCCTCGAAATCGTTGTTGCGCGAAAAATTCGATGAGTATGCGACTTGGAAGCCCGTGGAGCTGGGCAGCCAGGAGTCCAGCAACAACGGCAATGCCAATCCGAATGGTAGTGGCAATGGTGGTGGCTCTAGCAAGAAGCTGAAGAAGCCCAAGAAACGTCTTTGTTGGGTTGTCAACGCCGATGTCCTGGAGAAATTCCAGCTAACAGACTTGACTCTGCAAAATCAATGGCAATATATGTTGACCCCAAAAATCAGCAATGCTGACACATCCTTGCGCGAGGAGAAGGAATCCACACCCTTACCGGACTTGATAGGAACTAATGAGTCTACGCCTCAAAGCAAAACGAAACCGGGCATTACTAAGTTCACGAAAAGCTTGCAAGAACTCGCAAAGTCGCAAACATCTTCATCCCCAACATCATCTGCAGCCTCAGCTAAACCCACAACTGTAACGGCGACATCGGTGCCGAAAAAACGCGGTACCCTGCTCATGTCTGTGCCGCGGGATCAGCAATTCCATGCACCCACAAAAAATGCTCTCATCAGTCAGTACCTTAAGAAGCAGAGCGACGAGGCAAAGGCCCGTAAAACGGCAGCAGCATCGCCAACGCCCGTCGATGATGTTGTCCTCCTCTCGGACTAAAACTAACTAACTAACATCAACCGCAACATTTTTTATTCCCTACAGATTATTATAATTATTATTAATATATATATATATTTTTTTTCGGGTAGTCTTAAGCTAGAATGTTGGATACTGGACTCACAAATGTATGTTTATATTGTTAATTATTTTATATTGTAGGAATTCAAGTTGAGCGACTGATCTGATCCGTTCGCAGTCCTTAAGCTATATTCTACATGTAAAGTAGCGTCAATGTATCGTTTCTTATAAGTGAGTGCTGCGTTTCTTCGTTGCTATATAAAAGGGGCGATGCACATTTTCACATGCTTTCAATATTTATAGTGTTCAATAAACAAGTATATTTAAATGCATATAGTCCAAAAAAAAAACTTTTTACTTAAATATATGGTTTATGGCTTTGGTTTTGTGAGTGAAAAACTTCAGGGTGAGAAACGCAGAGAAAGACGCAATTAGAAGTTCTTCTTGATATGCCAGACTGCTAAGTATGCTCGTAAATATGGACTTCAGCCTAAATTCCAGGTTTCGCATAAACAAATATCAAGATAATAAGTGTCAGTAAAGCAGGAAGATGCTACAAAACGGTATTTAAATCAAGTGTTTGGCTATGTTCCACAAATCCAATTTTTTGATGAAATATGGGTCCCATATTTCACATCTGAGATGAAGAAACACTCAAGATAATGGACTCCAAAGAAGGCATCGACAGTTCCAACAGTGTTTTGGGATGATTATCGTTCAAAAAGAAAAACAATTAATTAGCAAACGTGTGAAGGAAAAACTCCCACATTTGTGGAAGAAGAAGATTATGCACGTTATCCCTCGTTAGATTTAGCTTTCTACACTTGAAAAAATGACTCGATGGTAAAAGATTTGAAAACAATGAAGCGGTGGATTCTGCGGTTGATGGTTTTTTTGAGCAGCTCTACGTTGTTCACAACAAACAAGCTGTATCAAGCTAAAACTAGGTACAGTGCAAACTCTCTTAATGGACAGGCCTCATAGGCGAACTCTTTTTACTAGAACATTCGTTCGGTGTACTAAGTACTTAAGTATCCCCTTAAGCGGACACTCCCCATGGGCGGACAAAAATTAGCCGACCGTGAGTGTCCGGCCAAGAGGGTTTTCACTGTGAATACACTGCCACTCAACTGAATAGGTTCAATAGGTTTTCATTCCCAAAAGTTAAAATAGTTGCACATATCTTCTGAACCAAATCGTCGATTTTGATCAAATAAAATTTTGTAGAAAGAATAATTTATTATCAATGGAACACCAAAGTTTGGGGCTTAAAGAACATTTTTTCAAATTAAAAAAAAAAAAAACATAAAATGCCTATTTGCTGAATTGAATTTAAAAACCGAAAAAAAAAATTGGTATTAGTATTTAGTACATCCACCTTTGTTTGAAATCACATCAAGTAATATTCTAGGGCTGTTATCGAAAAATAAAACTATTCCATTAAAACGTTTCGTTATTTTTAAAACATTTTGTTGTCGTTTATTTTTGCATCATTAATTTAATCATTAAATATACATTTAGTTATTTTATATGCCCAAAAAAAAAAAATATATAGGAAAACAGAATATAAACGAGTTCCTTGTATTTATTTTCATGTTCATGTTTTTGTTGTGTGTGTGTGAGTGTGTGTGTGCTCTAATATATATACTATATAGATATATGTATATAAATGGGACGTTACGTCGCTTCAAAATGTGCCGGGGTTCGGGATTCCGTTGCATCCTACTATTAATTACTGTTGTTGTTGGTTCTATTATTATAATTAAAATATTGCTACTGGTTGCTATTGTTGTCGTTGCTCTTGTTGCTGTTATTATTTGCACGTGTTGGATTGAATTCGATTGGATAAATTGGTTTGAATGGTTAATTGGTTTCTCAACGATTTCTACGGCCAGTTGTTTGTTGCGTTTTAGAAACAGACAACAAACATGGCTCGACAATGTTTCGATAGACAGACATACATACATACAAACTACATAATTAATAATTACACATACACAATTGCATGTACACATACATACACACATACTATACATATGCATGTATGTGCATGCATGCATCAGTTATACAATATTATATTATATATAATAAGGCAAATGACGAGGGTCAAGTTGTAGAAAGTACATTCATACATACATACATAGTTGTTGTTGTTTGTTTTTGTTTTTTTTTTAAATTTGTTTATATCTAATTAAGAAAACTAATTCTCATTATCTTGTTGTTGTCCAAGTTGTGTGTGAGGGAGAGTAGATGTTTGTGTGTGTGTGTGTGTGTGTGTATTGTCACAGAAACCAGTCGTTTTATGCTAGATAGAGATGGCGCTATGCTGCCTGCCCATGTTTGTCAAGTTGTGGGTGTGTGTGTGAGCGAGCTAGCAAGCAGCTGCCAACAGAACTAAAGTTCGTTAAGTACTTAAAAGTTAAGTAATTTCTACATGCGCGGCCAAAGTGCAACAAAATGAATTAATAATAACATATGTAGATACGAGCTTCCTTCCTTTTCACATATATATTTTGCATGTCAAGTGTGTTTGTTTGTTTGTGTGTGTGTGTGGGTGCGTGCATGCGGAAGGGTGTGCGTGAGTACAAGCGTGAGTGCGCGTTTGTTGTTTGTCTGTGTGATAAGCGTTTAGTTTTTTCATCCTTTTTTTTTGTTAAAAAATTTGTTTTTTGGTCAAATGTTTGATTTGGCCGCCGCCTTGCCGATTTCTCTCCTTTTCCCATTCTCCTCCTCCTACTACCTATATTAAATGTTGTTGTCTTTTATGGATCTGTCAACCTCTGCCACCGCATTATCCTCAGGCATCATCATCATCATCATCATGATCGGGCGTCTGCTCAAAGTCGCCGCCTACCCGTCAGGGCAGCAGCAGAGGTCGAAAGTAGGCACGGCAGAAGATCGTCGAGGCCGATGGCGGCAGGTCCTGATTCCGATAATACATTTTGCACTCCCGTTCCGTTAGCTTGTCAAATACGGCGGCGTATTCGCGATGGAATGTGGCCAGATCGACGTTGGATCGGCCGATGGCTGTCAGCGCCAGGAAGAGTATGTCGCGGTAGAAGGAATGCGAACGCTCCACTCCGTTGGTCTTAAGCTTGTGGCGTTCGTTGGCCAAACGCTTCAATGGCGTTGCCAGATCGTTGCAGCGTATGGCCGATATGATCTGCTGAATGACGCTAAAAATAATACAGGATATATAAATCGATTAGTTCAGTTTTTGAAATGAAACTTCGTATGTGAGGATTTTGAATGCTGGATCGGCAACCTTTTCTGTAACGAAACCCAATAGCACGGTAACAGGCGCACATAACTGGTTTATTTATGAATACGTGGTAGGTTATGGTTTTTAAAAGTCGCCGTTTCTTGTATTTTTCGGGTTTTCCTACAATATTTTTATTGCGATAAAGAACGGCCTTGCCTGAGGCAAGTTTTCTGTCTGTTTTTAGTGGGTTTTGTAGACACTTTCTGACGGATTTTCCGATCGATGACGGAAAGGGATAACCATTATCTATCTATTCTCAAGTAAAATCATTCCAATACAACCAATACAATTTTTTTTGTAACTTCAGAAAATCCTTAACTCTTGCAGTAGTGAAGTAGTAAAGAAACATGAACCATTTAACTACGAAAGACTTATATGTATGCCTGCAAAACCAAGACGATATTGGGTTTGTTGTAAACTTGATCTGTTCATACATAAGTCAGCATGTCAAATTTGGTTCCCTAGCTCTGTTACGGTTCCAGGATAAAGTGTCTTGTTTAAAAAGCACTTACTTCTTATTCAGCTGTGCCTGATCGGTGAGCAGAGCTTTGATGAGCGGACTGGTTGGCTGGGTCTCTCGATACAGTATATACATGGGTGGGCCGCTGGCCTCGCTATGCAGTCCCAGATTGTCCCAAAGGCATTGGATATGCACGGTCTTCACCTTAGTCAGTGGATCAACATCCTCCTGGTCATCCTGTGCGAGAAAGAAATCAATCTGGTTCCGGTCCCATTTCTGATTACAACTTACCGTTGCGGGCAGGCATAACTCTGGTAAATGGGTCTTGCTCTCAATGCGCTCCATTAGCCACAGCAGATTCCAATAGATAATGGGATGCTCCTCGACGAAATTGGGCTTGATCAGCGCCATATCACCCTCCTGGGTCAGTATGTTTTCTAGCTCCTTGCGCAGAACCAAGGGATTCAGATACGGCACCGTCAGACTATTTAGGGTCGTTTTGCTCTGGCCCTCGTCGAAGCGTGTGATCTGTACGCCTAGAAAGGGGACGGTAAGCTTGTTGCACGCATAGCATGTGGTGTTCAAGTTAGAGTCCTCGGCCGTCCAGCCGCTCATGATCTCCTCATCGTAGATAAGCACCGAGCAGTTGTGGCATTGCGAGCACGTCGTCAACTGTATAAGCACATCGCACTCTGGCACACTGGCGCACTGAACAGATGGTACAGGACATTAGGAAAGTAAAGTTTTATTTGTGCCCTCTATTATGGGGAATTACCGGAACCCGGGGAATTATACTCACGTCCGCTGTGGCGCTGTAAAGATTATCTGGCAAAGCGGGGAATGCGTGCATATGTAGAGCCGATCCCGAACTATTTTCGCCTAGAGGGACGAGGTTGTTGTAGCTCGATTTGCGGGACTCGCTCAAACGACCCCAGGGATCCAGATCGCTGGAGACGCGACGAAGCTTGCCATCCTCGTTTAATCCTCCATGGGCACTGCTATCATGATCCTCCGTACCAGGCATTCCGCTCCCTGACTCATGATGGTGCGGACCGCTGGCATTGTTGGTCTTAACCGGCGTCGTATTGGCCGATATGGCACCCTTGATCTCATCGAACTTGCGCGTCAACGAGGTGGCTGCGTACTTAATGCTGCTCAGACTGCCCTGAATAAGTTCGTTGGACTTCTTGCCCGTCAGGCTGGGACTGCACGATTGAAAACATAGGGGTGTCTTAGTGAAAATCTTCTACCATATGCATCCTTTTGGGTTGTGGGGCACTTTCACAAAAGCGGTTACAAAACAAAAATTGAGAAACAAACAAACGAACCAACAAACAAACTGAAAATCAAGTGGTTATTACTTTGCGGTGCTTTTATGAACGTTATGTGCTCGGACATGGTTATGTAGATTAGGCGTGGATGTTAATGGTTTACAGTACGAGTATGATAGATAATGTGGCTTGTGTATTACCAACCAAACCTTGAATTGCCCGCCACCAAGTTGAGTTAATCGGGTAAACAAAAGCCGCATAAACGCAAAAAGGGCTGCTCCTATCATAATTTGCGACCAACATAAATGTGGAACGTGAGTGAAAATCGACGAAGAACTTAATTCATCACGCGCGTCAAATTGAAAATACCTTTGCAGGGCTTCCAACACACACACACCTCTAAAAGCAAATCTAAAGTTAACTTCCAGTTCCGGACTTCCATTCAGTTTAAATTGAAATAGTTCTCCTTGCGATTATAATTACTTTTCAGCAATAGAGTTTGTAATTAAAAGTCCAGTTTGTAACACAAATATTTTTAAATAGACGTTAATTTTGTCTGCATTACAGTTTTCCTTCTTGGGGGTCAAATTTCCTTAATTTTAACGCGATTCTATACGCAAAGTTCTACTTCCTCTCTCGATTATGTTCAGATAAGCAATACAGTTTGTAAATTAATTTTAAGAATGTGAAACAAATATTTTTAAACAGAGTTTAATTTAATTTTCCCTTCTTCGGGGTCAAATTTCCTTACTTTTTATGCCAAATTTCAACTATGTCGATTCTATTCAGATATGCAATATAGTTTCGAGAATGTTAAACAAAAAGTTTCAAGCAAATTTTAATTTTATTCGCATTACATTTTCCCTTCTTGGCGGTCGAAATTCCTTAAGTTTTACGCAATTTTGAGACCAAATTTTATCTCTATTCTATTCAGATATGCAATAAACTATTTTAATTTAAAATTCGGAACATATGCAATTATTTTCAAAAAGAGGCTAATTTTGTTCTTCACCTTACATTTTTCCTTCTTGGGGGTCGAGTTTCCTTCAAACTAACTCCTAACCCTAACTGGCATGGTCGGAGCTATAGCATAAAATCTGTCCTGCCTACAACTAATTGGCATTTAGGTTGAAGAAAAAGGTGTGTATGTAGTCGCCTTGCAAAGGCTTCAGAGCTGTAGGCATGGTCAAGCAAAAAACGATTAAGTATTCTCTTTTATTATTTTGTGGAACGCAAATTAGAAATTTTATAAAGATGTATAGGTATTTGTTTATATGTTTATGTGTGTGGGTGTGTTTGTGGTGTGTAGAGTGTTTGTGTCTGTTTTTCTCGGGCACTTACCTTATGTTCGAAATATTTTCTATAATATTGGCGGGCAATTTCAAATCTTTCTTAAAGGACATTCGTGCGGGTGAATAACGTCTACGATAAAAAACATTGCACAAAAAAACGAATTCGATTCGATTATATGGAAAAATAGAAGGAAGGCAAATTAAATGTGTTCCAAAAATATCGTACAATAGAATATCGCTAAAAATAAATGCTAAAGAAAAATAAAAAACAATATATTGCAGTTGGAGTCGAGTTGAGGTTGAGTGGCTGTGATTGATATTGAGATTGAAGTTGAGTTGAGTTCTCGAGCTGTGGAGGGAGGGAGTGAGTTGAATGTGAAAGTGTGTGTGTGTGTCTGTGTGTGTGAATGAGTTGCTAATGCGTGTCCTGCGCATGCGTGGCGCCCAATTAATTACAACAACGACACGACAACAACAACTTTGGATAAGTGTAGGTAGGTAGGGCTGTCGGACTGATTCAGTCTGATTCAGTTTAGATCGCACAAAGAGCGATGACAGATCCAATAGTTACCCGAAAGTGAATTTCAGCGACGATCCAATATTCGCCAAGCTGTGTGTAACTCCGCTGCTGGCCACAGGCATTGTCTCCGAACGATGCATGATCTTGCCTATTTGCGTGGACTCGTCAAAGGTGGCGCTGCGCTGGCCGCGGAACAGAATCGGCTTGTCGCTGTACATGTTGCTGTTGTTGTTGCTCAGGGTCGTGGCCGTTTCCGGCAGGGTTGTCGGCTGCTGTGTGGGCGTCACTTCCTCCTCATTGAGCGCACCGAGCGGATCGTTTTGGGTGACGGGTGTCCGTGGCGAGATCCTGCAAGCGCACCAAAGATTTGTTTAGGAGGAAATAAGAATTAAGGATTTATTAAGAGCAGAGCCGATAGATTACATTTTTATTTTTTGCATGTTTTTTCATTAGTTTCATTCATACTCTTGTATGCTCACAAGCGGCTGACTAGACTGTTTAAGCCTGTTTGTAGGAAAAGCTTCAAAATTGCTTAAAACAGGAAAAAGTAGTCCATTACGAAAACCTAAATCGGGTTTTAAAAAACCCGCTGCTTAAAAATTGTTGAAATATTTGCCCTACAATGGGTTAAATAATAAGTTGAAAATGCACAAAAAATGTTTCTTAAACTTTGCTCGAAAGCGAAATTAATATTTTCAGTACAGGCTGATTGTTTATATAATTTCATATCTGGCTATATTAAAATTAAAATTGAATTAAAATATAATTTTATCCGGTTTGGAATGGGTTTTAAATCGGTTTAGGGACATATGCGGAACATGCAACGATTTTGAAATTTATCAAAATACGACATTCCCCTGATTTGTTCGAGAATGGGCAGAAAACAAAAAACTGACAGGACCTATATAATCTCTGACTCAAATAGAAGAGCTTCTTCAAAAAAGAACACGAAAAATGTTGCAGCTCATTAGAAAATATACATAGTAGCGTAGGTAGTATATATTATTAGGGAATTATATATATTAGAGTAGCAGTTTAGTCTCTATATAGTGGAAATCCAGTCTTTCTGTGCAGTTGGAAAATTAATTCCATTAGCTACAGTTGAGATGGGTCTCTACTCACTTGGTTGGACTTTGAACGCAGCGTGCACGATTACGCGTTCTATCCCCGTTCTCATCATCCTCGCCGTCGTCATCCTCGTCGGCTGCATAGTCGAGTTCCTCCAGCGAATTGCTTGCCGCTGTCGATTGCTGTGGCGTGGCATGGTCCTGTGACTCATCCTCTTCATCGTCTTCGTCCTCCTCTCCATCACCGATGCTCATGATTTGCTTTCGTGGCTGCTGCTGCTGTTGTTGCTGCATCTGCTGTTTGGCGGCATACATTTTGTTCAAGAGCTCGGCATCGCCGCCAAAGCTTTCCCGCTTGGACAACTGCTGTTTGCCATTGGTGGTCGCCACATCCGCAGTCGCTGTCGGACTCTGGTGGGGGGTGCGTGGTGTGTGCGGCGTATGGGGCGCACTTCCATTGGCACTCGCCTCACCAGATATGAGCAATCCTGCACTGCTGATGACATCGTCCGCTGGCACTGAATCCGGCACATTGCCCGTTACTGTCTGGCGGACAATGCTGCCCAATTTATTGCGCAACTTATCGAAGGCGGCAAAGTCCAGCAGCGAGCTACTAGCCACGCCGGCATCCGCACCGCCGCCCATACGCTCCAGATGTGAGGAGCTAGACGATGCGAGACTGGTACGCGATTGACCATCGACAGTTTCTAGGGTGCTCAGATTATGGTCGTGTGAGGCGGATAGGGATTTGCATACATTGGCGGCCGCTCGACGCTTGCCTGCTCGGCGAAACTGAGCAGCACCCATTACCACATTCTTGATGCGGTTCCAGCGGATCTGGCTAAGTGTGGTGCTATCGCTGGGCCACTGGGACTCGAGCACGCAACGATTGTAGAAGCCATAGGTCAGTGCATTCGGCTGCACGCCCGAACGCTTCATCAAGTAGTGGAGACGAACGGCCAGAACCGGCAGATTGTGGATCCCACAAAGTTGCATCATGATCCGGTAGCAAAATTCATCACAGGTGATCTTCAGTTTACTCGCCCGATCCAGTACATCGTAGGCTGCACGCAGTATATCATGCTCTTTGCCCGCATGTCGTGTGTCCAACACCATCGAGGGCAGAATCAAAAAGTACAGGGAGTAGCATGTGGCCAGCAAATATTTGGACCATGCCTCCGGATGCTGTTGACAGCGCATGGCCATTTTTTGCGACAGCTTTATCTCGTGTTTGGTGCGACGTGCTATCGGGGATCCCGGCGATAGCGAAGCATTCAATTGCATTTGCAAAAAGTTCGAGATTGCCGTTTTACGCGAGCCCTGCAGCAATCGGGGATCGAGTGTAAAGTTCTTGTAGCTGTAGGACGTGCCCCCATCCTTATTGGGCGCCACACTATCTGGCGGAAATATGTATTTGGTACGTTCGCTATTGTGACCCGTGTCCCAGTCCACAAGATGCAGCTCAGCGGGCGTCTCATCGTAGCCGCCCACCTTTTCTGCGCACTCGTCGAAGAACGTAAGTCCGTGATCCCCGTCCGAGACAAAGGATCGCTCCTCAATGAAGCGTATGAACATTTGTGTCTTCATGAGTAGCTCGAAGAACTTCTGGTGCGCCTGAAAATAGAACACAAACATTTATATATATTTTTTATAGACTCTTCAATCGTAAAACAAACTAGTTTATGACTCATGAGCTGAGCTTAATTTGTGGTTGGCGTTTTAGAATAACTTGGAAATGTATAGAAATGAAGACAAATTTTTTCAAGAAAAGAAGAATGGAGGTTCTAATAAAGCAATTGCAGGAATATAGGTATATATAATATACAGCACAAATGGATGGATGGGCGGACTGAAGGACATGGCTATATCGAGCAGTCTCTTCTAGCTGATCAACTCCTTTTCCTCTCACATAGTAGTTTACAAGCTTTCCGTACTAAGAGAGTAATTTATAATTTGAAGAGCCCCGCTTTTTGCAGTCTTTGGGAATCTCAGCTTTAATTCTCAGCTCTCTTTTCCTATAATTTGTGTTAAATAATGAAATATCAACCTCTTTTCAATCGCATGACCATGAAATATCGTATGTTGTTTAACATTTGATTGAGTTCTTATGCCAGCTATTCCCGAGCTTAGTTTGCTTACCTTATCGCGCGAACGCAGAAATGCCTTCAGCTGAAATAAGGCACTAGGGTCGGTGGCACCAATGGAGGGTGCCTTTGATATGGGCACTAGAAAGTCGCGATAGCCGCGTAATATCGACGTCATGAACAGCAGAAAGGCCTCCTGTATACGTTGTTCTTGCACAAGCTATTTAAAGTTAAGCAAGAGATTAGCAACTGCAGCTTAATACATTTGCAGAGACATGTATAATCGACTTACCTCGCGCTTTCGCTTGCGAATGTCACGATCCAGACTGTTGGTTGAATCGTAACTTATGGGCTTTACGTTCTCCAGCTCTGTGAGCGTTTGACGTAGAAGGCGGGCGGCACGCTTGGGCAATAGTTTTGGTGTCAGATGTCGCTGCGATTCACAAAGCTGCAGGAAAAGAAAACACGATGAGAGAGGTATGAATGGGATATAGGGAATGTGACAGCCTACGCTTATGGTATTCGTGTCCAGATCAATGCAAGTGACATCCGTGGGTGGATCGTACAGATCAAAGAAACGCGAATCCACGCCAATTAAATACGGAAGTGGGGCATGCAAGACTTCGGCCAGTCCCAGTGGACAGAGTGGTATGTATGGGCACTGCCACTTGAAGGGAAATACCAATGAGACAATGGCCTCGGCCACTGCGGTCAGTGTTGCGGGTCTGTAAGTCCATTGATTAAAGCTAAACATTCGACCGAAGAAATGAAAATGTATGCGCTTACCTAAGCGAGTGTATTAGAATCTTTTGCTCTGTGAGCGCTAGAAGCAGAACATTCAGACAATTCTCTGTGCCCAGATTCTGTAGAAGCATATAGAAGCCGGCGCCACTACGTGGCAGCGGTGAGTCTTCGGGTTGTGTGAGCAGAATGCGATCGTTTGATTCGCTGGACATTTGCAAATGTATGCTGGGCGCCGGAAAGGGCACCTCATCCAGCAGCTGGGTAATGTAACGCTCCACGGGTATGGGTATATTATCGCCGTAGACGACCATGCGCTAAAAGAAAAGCATTTATTAATAAGATGGTGGCTGTATTCGACATCTGTGTCTGCAGCTACTTACATGCAAATACTTTAGCCACTTGTCGAATGTGTCGCCAAAAGGGTGATGCGAGAGCAAGCAGATGGCTTTGATGATGTGCAGCGAATGCCGCTTGGCAAACTCCTCGTCCCAGCCCAGCAGTTCACGCTGCTCTGCAGACAGCTGCGATTCCCTGAAACACAGAGAAATGTGGGTCACTAAAAAGCGCATTGTAGTAACCAGATAAAACTTACTCGAAATCCTCATAAAAAGTTAAAGCAGAGCCATACACCTTGTAGGTGCCATCGCTGACTGTTAGCACAAACGTGCTAAATACCGGACTGATGGGTTTACGCTTCTCAGTGCCATTCACATGCGGCCATGCCTCAAGAGAGGCACCCATGGGCAGACAAAAAAGCGGCACACTCGCACACAAATTGAGCGGAAAGTCATTGTGGTCGACTGTGGGATATCGTAGTAATATCTCAGGCTTATAGCTGATGTGTTTTGGTCGATACATGGACTTCTTGTAGCACAAATAGACATCGCTGCCCACATAGCCCTTGTTGAGCGTTTTATAGATGAGGCAGAAGGCGTGCGGCGGTCTCTCGCCCTTGCTCTGCACGATGACGCACAATTCGGTGACCACCAGCTCGTTGCATGGCATGTCTGGACGTGCCCGTCGATATGTGAGAAAAGTCTTTGCCGACGAATTATTGACATTGGCCACCCGACCGCCAGGAGTTTCGCTAACGATTTCCGCATCGGCCATTATGCGTTCGTGACCATCATAAAGTACGCCTGTAAGAAAATATTGGCATTGTTCAGAACTGACTTAAATATTCCCACATAATACTAGTTGAGCTATGTCAATCACATCTAAAAAGTTAATTATTATTATCATTTATTGGGAATGTTTGTCTGGATCCCAATAAATGACAAACAAATTCCGAATCTAATCTCATACGCATGCGAAAGTGAAAACTGATCGAACAGAATGTCTATCCGTATTCTATTTTGAAACAACTAACTACTGATAAGCACGATTTGGCAAGCATTGTTAGTTAATTCCTCATAGTTTCGGAGTCCAATACTCACCGATATCCACCAGAGGTGGCCTATCCTTGCCGCGTCTAAAGTATATATAGCATTCGGTGGTGCGCACGGAGCCATGATTGAGATTAGCCTGAAGACCTGTGGGTGTCTGTTCCAGTACCTCAAAGCCCTCGGGCACTTCCTCTCCGAGCAGTGGAAATAATACACCGATATCAGTGATCGGATCGATGATGTTAGCGGCTCGTAGACGGCCTGTATCATTGAATATGTTGTCCTGGAGCAGCTGCGGCTGTGCCGGCATTCCAGCGACAACAAAGTAATCCGCTATGCGTTTCTCCTCCATTCTGCAGCTGTGTCGCCTGCAAGGGAAATCCAAATAAAACAAACAAGAAAGTTAGTTATAACAAATAAAAAAAAAGTTAAATTGTCCGAGTGATAAGATAAACCAAGGCAAGGCACAGGCAGCGGCAGAGCAATCGACACCAGCAAAAGCCTTTGTTTACATTTTTGGGAAACTTCGACGATAGCTTGCATTATTAGAAGGCGATAAAATGCGACAAGAATTTCAGACTGTAGGTCCAAATACGTGTAGAAGCCGAGGCATTGCCTGCGACTCGCTGCCACTTTGACTTTGTTTGTATATTATTCCCCTTTTTATATATGTACATTTTTTTTTATTATGCTCTTTGCATTGGAACTCGACAACGACTACGACGACGGCCACAAAGTACAACAAAAACAAGTTCCGCTTGATGATTCAACATTGACTTCCTCCATCTGTATTTGTTGCTGTTGTTGCTCAGGCTGTGGCTGTTGTTGTTGTTCAATGACAGACGAGCTGCGCTTGAACGCTTTTGTTTTTATTATTGTTATGCGATGCTGATGCTTATGCTGTTGCCGTTTCTGCTGTGGCTGTTATTTTGTTTACAAGGAATACGAATACGCTGTTGACGAACGCCGTCAGTACTCAACCTTGTTTGGACTTACAATTTTGTTGTAGTTGCTGCTAACGTTGTTGTTTTTGTTGGTGCCGCAGCTGCGCTTGCAGCGCCTGCTGCCTTGAAGACCTCTCTCGCTGGTTCTGTGTCGCAGTTTTATAAACCAATTTAGAGTGTGCAATAAATAGTAATATCTTTTTGTATTTTCGTTTTCGGCACACACACACACACCACTTCACAGTACGTTAATTTTAACACACAGGCACACCACACCAAAATTTTACATCATTATTTTCGACGACAACGTTAACGTAGGCGAACAGTTGCACTTTGTCTTCACTCACGTCGCTAGCACACTTCTCTCTTTCTCTCGCTGTTTTATGTGTGTCCTCCTCTTGTGCCTTGTTCAATTCGAATTTGCTTACTTCTTCTCGTTACTGTGTTGCTGTTGCATTGGAATTAATAGTAATAGTACTTAAAAGCTATGTTGGCTCTATATGTGTGTGTTCGCAACTGCTGCTGTTGTTGCATAGAGTTGCCATAGTATGTTTCGATGGTTGTGTTTTTGCGCCTGAATCACCACTTAAATCACATTTTATTTAAAATCAACTGAGCACCTGCTGCGCTTATTCGATTGACGCTCACTTTTTATGCAAATAACAACATTGCTTGCAGCAATAAAAGCACAATTTACGAGAGAACGACTCGAACAGCAGATACTGGCAACCCACAAGCGCCAGCTGATGTCACAAAGTCTATCGGTGCTAATTCCCTGTTATCGATTACAACAGCCATAAACCGATAAACACAAAATTGCGTTTGTTGCTCAATTGCTTTAACGGCCAAATTTTATGTCTATGCAATGCAGTGAGCAATTCAGTTATTAATCGCTATAAACGTGCATATGTAAGATGTTTTGCGTTTTTAGCCGACTTTAAAAAGGGAGGAGGTCGTCTGTATTTTGTTTCTATCGAATTCAGACCAGTATTCATAAATTGCGGTATTTAAACCTGCCACCAGTAAACAGCTGTAGTTCCGTATTTTGGGTTCATTGTTTTTAATGGTTATTCGAAAAATGTTTCATTAAAAATTAAATTGTATGTCAATTGAAAAACATGTAAAAACATATTTTAACTAATAGGAGCTTAATCCATTTATTTGTATCGTTCCAATACTATCCACAATTTCAAGAATACAAATTGCATACACAATTTACTCGATCATCTACCTTTATATGAAAACTCAATCACATCGGTTAAGTCTTAGAAAAGTTATTAGCAAAACAATTTAACGTCCTTACTACGCCTCGTCTCTATGAGTAGGGGTTTTGTGCTCTTCTTCTTTTTCCTCCTCTTCTGCCAAGCGCGCATATAAGACAGCGACTGGAGTCCTTTAAAGTAATGGGGTATTTGATTGTCGGACTTGCTCGACTGCAAAATTCATTCTTGTTTGGTATGAATTTACTTGGGGGCGTTTTTCAAGAAAAGTGAAGTATTCCCTCTGTATCCATATTTTTTATTACGACAAGATATACCTACATACTGTATGTATATAGATTTAGCTGTAGGGGCCCTTTCAGCTATTTCTCAAATTTAAACAGGTTGCAATTACACATTTGATTGAATACTCATTTACCTTTATAATTTTTTTTTTACACTAAGGCCAATCATTGACCTTAAAACCTTCCGAGCATCTGCACATAATTTTTGTGGGGGAGGGCGGTTCTTCTGATTCCCATTTCGGAGCCGTACAAAATTTAAATTTAAAATTTAAATTTCAGAGACATAATGACGTTTTTCATGCTTAAAGCATTCAGTCTGTAATCTTTTATTTGTGACAAAACCGAAAACAAAGCGTACAGCTAACCAAGGAGGTATGGACAAGGTGGAATGTTCAGTGCTTCATTTGTGTTATGTCTGCTAATGGGTTGCGCTTTTGGCAAGCGCATCCATTCATAACTAAAAGGGCCGATAGGTGCTCGTTTTTGAGTTGAGTACTCGGCCTTTTGAGTGTCCTTAGACACGAGTCAATTCGGCCAGACCGAAAGTGCTGAGCAAAGTAGTGATTTTTTTGTCACTGTGATATCACAATTCACGTCTGCGAAGTATGCCTAAGATGTTGGATTTTCGATCACAAATCAAAATAACTCCACAAATTACCATAAGTTTTGTGTATATGCATTTTTGTTCTATAGATTGTTAAAATGTTTAAAATCCATTTGATGAGAAGCTATTCCTAAGATAAGCGGAGGTTTTAAATACCAGCAATCTTATAAAAGGTAGATTATTCATATTCCGGATAAGTTTTAATTAATAGTTTGACTTACAAAAATAAAATAACGAATATAAATCGGATAATATAAATTATAATATATATAATATAACATTTTTTAATATATATTCATAAAAACAGTGGATTGACAGAAACGTACTCTTTTTATACCCTGTACCCAAAGGGTACAAGGGTATATTAGGTTTGTGCGAGTGTACATGTAACACACTGAAGGAGGCGTGGCAGACCCCACAAAGTATATATATTCTTGATCAGCATGACACACCGAGTCGATATAGCCATGTCCGTCTGTCTGTATGAACGCAAGGATCTCAGAAATTATAAGAGCTAGAATAACCAAACTTGGTATACATATTCTCCTGAACCCGAGAAAGGACGAGTTTGTTCATTTTTTCCGATACACCCCCCCACTCCCCCCCTATTTTCTATAACTCTAGAACTCGTAATTCTTAGAATTTTGAACTAAAATTTGGTAGACACATCCAGTTAGTGATTATATGTCCGTATACCAAGTTTCATTATACCCTATCATAATAAGAATTAGAAAGAAAGTTATAGCCATATAACAAGGCCAATACACACATACACGCATACAAGTATGTACAAGTACACCAACACGCATAGACACGATTCTGATGTAAATGTAAATGTATGTATGCATGTATGGAATATTTTATATTTAATTTAGTTAATTAATTAAATTAATTTAATTACATTAATTAATTAATTAAATTAAATTTTTTTTGTGGGGTAGTACAGGGTATTTTAGAGTTGAGCCTGCTCGACTTTAGCATTCCTTTCTTGTTTGTCTTAGTGTTTGAAAGGCAGTCGACTATAGACATTCTTAAAAATAAAATTTATAAATAAGATAATACGCTAAGAATAGGAATAAGATACGCTAAGTATTTTTTTGTAGGTTTAAAACACATACAAAGAAAAGTTTAATGATAGCCTCCTCAAAAAAGTCGATATCGGATCAAAAATGACAAAGTAATATTTTAAAACGACCAGAAACTCTTTTGTAAATTTAAATTAAAAAAGGGTTTTTTTCTCCTCAATGTATTATCTCAGAGAGAGCACGTGTTCCAATTGAATCCCCTTTCAATAATTGTATAAATTTATCTAAACATTAGACATTAATTTTTGTTAATAGTAGCATATTTTCTTAAAATGTATACATACGAGTATTTCTTTAATTGTGTATAGTTTTGGTTTCTTAAATAGTGTGTGTGTGTTTTTTTTTGTTCTCATCTACTAAAACTATTAATACTGCACTAAACTAATTACGTTGATTTAGAGTCACTGCGATTCAATAATTTTGAGTCATTTCTTGCGCATCTCTGATGCGGCACAGTGGCGTCGTAGTTGCTGCTGAGTGGGTAGCACACGAAGAACAATACCGATAGCCACGCCACTGCCTGAGACTCGTTTTTGTTTACAAATATTGTCGTTGTTTTGAGCGCTTTTGCGCCTCCCTCTGAGAATCCTTTGAGACTCGCAGACAAATTGAGTTCCGCCTGTTGCGTGCGGCACACGCATATACCCACACACCGAATGAGTGGCACTACTGTCTATGCGAATTAAAGCAACAATAATAAGATGCTTCAGATGTTTCTGATTTCCAATGTTTCCCTCTCCCGCTCAAAATAAAGAACGAGTATTTTCACTTTGCTATGCGATTTGTGCTTAAAATATTTTATTCGTGCGCTACTCTGCGCACAAAAAACCATATACATATAGCCACTTGATTCTATATACTATCTGCCATAGGAACGATCGGTGCTAAAATCATTCTTGGTGTGATAACTTTTGTCAACCAAAATCGGTGCTACATGTAGCTGCCATACAAACGATTCGCGCAAAAAAGTTTTGTGAAAGGAGTGTGTGGGAGAGATGGGCAGGTACAGGGTTTATTAAAGAAAATTCGGCCTGAAGCCTAGAAATAGAGACTGAACATTTTTTTAACTTAGTACAAAAGAAAGATAATGATGAAAGAATAACTCTTGGCAATTTAAATGATAAATAAATGTTAAAAGATATTTTTTCGCTTTCATTTCTAAAATATAAGACGCCTAAAAATAGAGACCAATGCCCCCACATCTACAATTACGTTATAACATTTTTTGATTAGCTTAGCATTTTTAAGTGCAAATAAATAATAATAATAAATAATGATTAAAGAATAATTCTTGGCACTTTAAATGATAATTAAATGATTTTCTTGCTTTCAATTTGAAAACATATGAAACCCAGAAATAGAGCCCAATGCCCCCACATCCACAAATACGTCCTTAAAATTGTTGCCGAACTCAGCATGGTTAGAGAATAACTCTTGGCACTTCAAATGATAAATAAATGAATTCGTCGTCCTCATTTCTAAAATACATGACGACTAGAAATAGAGACATTTTTTTGGAACTTAACATTTGTTACTACAAAAGAGAGATCGATTAAAGAATAACTCTTAGCGCTTTAAATGATAAAAAGTGCAATCGAAATATCGAATATTTCGGAATATTGTATGCAAAATAGTTTTTTTTTTAATTTCAATCCAATCCGCTGTTAAATACATTGTTTTAAAGCGCAATTTACAGGCCCTTAATAAATGCGACTCACTCAACAACAAGAGACAGGCTAGGCTGTTGCGAACGAGTGAATGAGCGAGTGAGTGAGTGAGTGAGTGGGCGGATGAGTGGGTGGGTGAGTGAGTGGAAAGCACTCACAACGTATAACGGACATTGCTCATACGCCATGTGGGAACGAGAAATCAACAGTGCTGTCGGCTGTCGGTTGTCGTCGGCGCCCATTGCTTTTGAGCTTCGTTGTTGTTTTGCTTCTTGAGCTAAAGCGACGGCTACTGCTGTACCTCTGCTGGCGTCGAATGGGAGCGTCGACGTCGTCGCCAACGTTGGCGGCTTTGGCAGCGTGCGTTGAGATTTGAATTGAAAGCGTGTTCGCAGTTCGCTTGCGAATGTCCTGACCAAAGGTTGTGTGGCCGGCGCAAAAGCGAGCAAGGAAGAAACAACAAATCCAAGCTCAAGTTAAAAACTTAAAAACGAAAGTGAAAGCAACAGCAGCCTGCAAGTTGTTTTTGTTTCAAGACACACACCGAAGTTGAATTTAACTTTTAAACATTAAAAAAAAAAGAAGAATACTCTATTTTTTTTGCAATTTTTTTCGGTGCTGAAGCAGAATAGAAACAAGAAAGTGAATGCGTCTATAAAGAGGCAACAAAGGTAGCAGCAGCACATAAAAGTGGCAGTGAATGAAACGCATAAATAAAAGCAAAGCCTTTGACGAAGGAACGAACGAATCAGCGGCAGGCGGATAAACTGAAAGACACAGAAACAGTTAGAC